TTACTTCATCTCAATTTTAATCATTATACTTGTATCTTTTGTCCGTTTTTTTTCAATTGTCTATTTATCTTTTCTCTTTAATACAAAATTTTTCCTTTAATCAGTGGTTGAAGTATGACGCCTTTCTATCTTTCCCCCAAATTTAACACTTAAAGTAATACATAATTTCCATTCTGATTCTGCTTAGTACGTTCTATGTAACATTTTAAAATAAAAAGCATAATAAGCTTATAGTATAGTAAAAACAATGTTCCGTAACAATTTAATTAATTAAACTCTATTATTAAATCTTAGACATTTTACACATTCCCTGCAATATTCTATTAACACATATAATATTCCAATTTTCTAACTCTATTTCAAATACAAATACTACGAGACAATCTTATGTACTTCTGCAGAATCTCTTTTTAAATTGTATTTTACCCTTTGTCTCTAAAAAACCCCTGTTTTTTAACATCTTGTTTTAAGCCTTTGTAACTTCTCTTCCCCTTTTTTCTTCCTTTCTTGTCAAATCTAGCCTTTTTACCTCCCCATCTCTCAATCTCCGCCCTCTTAGTCTCCCCTCTCTGTTTTATTCCTCTTTTCTGTTGCTTTCTGACATTATATCGATTTTTCACCTTATTTTTCCCTTTCTTGGTTGTTTTTTTTTAGATCTTGAATTCTCTATTTTCTTTCCCCTTTCTCCCTTTTCTTCATCAACTAAAATTGTTTGTCCATTAAAGATGGCTTCTTCTTCATCCCAGCTTTCTTGTTCCTGTATTTCCTGATAAGTAGAAATCGCCATTTCTAAGAAGTGAAAAACAGATCCAGAAGAGCCCTTGCCTTCTTGTTCCTCTTCTTTTAGCTTTTTAAATTTCATTTTCAATTCTTCCACAGATAATGCCATTGTGAGATATATTTTTTTAACAATCCAAATGTTTGGGACTTTGGGACTTTTGCAAACTATCTTTTGAAAGACTAAAGTTTGCAAAAGTCCCAAAGTCATCAAGCAATCAAAATCAACACAAACTGTTTCATTTAGCACTTTCTTCTTTTAATACTTTCTCTTCCTGGGTTAGAGTTCAATTACACAATTCCAAAATGATTTTTTAAAAGTCTTATTGCAGTTTAGTCTCTGATCTTATAAGCTCCAAGCAGTCTCCTCCAGCAAAATCTTAGTATAAATCATTTACCTCTCCCTTCCCACTTGTAGCAAAAAGATTTTGATTTTTAAATATCAGTGTTCAGCTTTAATGTCCCCTTGGCTTTAATTTTCAAAATTAGTTACCTTCTGTTGCCAAAGCGGGTATTTCCGATTTCCATCTGCTATCTCCATAAGGAAGGAGAGTGAAGAAAAAAGAAAAACTTTCCCTGTTCACTTTCATCCGCAGCTTTTTACGATCTTCTTGGGAAACAATGTATCCTTTAGAAAGCTAGATTTCCAGGGTATTCAGATGTTACTTATTGTCCCGGTTCAGCCAAAAACTTTCACTTTCTCAACTTCTTCCTGCACAAACTTGTCCGGCTGAGAGATTCTTTGTGGAGGCCTTTGCTGACAGCCGCTCCACCGCCTTTGGAAAAGGGAGTTAAGCCGGCTGAGGAGGGGGGTTGCGATGCTCCCGGACCCCTACCCAGATCTCCCCTATCTTCAGTTATCCCTACGGAATAACTATAGCCTCCAAATCCAGCTGGATCGGAAGCACTCCAGCAGCGAGCGCAGCAGGGATCGCACACAATCGTGAATTCCTGCCGCTGCCGAAGCCTGACAAACCGGAACCCCCCAGGGGTGCTAGGCTTCTTGAACCTCACACGGTGGCTTCTCCATGTTTCATAACCTTTGGTTGGTCAAGGATCCCGAGAGCTGTTTATGGACAGGAGCCCGGTTGGGAAGAGGTTCTTGTTTCTGGTGTAAAGTTTTGGTTCCAGGAGTTGATCAGAAGAAGAACTCAATGCCTTTTCTTTCTTTCTTTGGGTTCATGGACAGGTTCATGGCTCCCAGCTCCTAAGCTCTCTTCGCCTCTTCCAGACACCGTCTTTATTAAAGGAGAAGAGATCTCCTTGAAATGCTCCCTCCCAGAAGAATATTGGGCAGAATCTTTCATTTTCTACTGCAAGGATCAATCCGATTTAATAGTCACATATGTAAACATCAATAAAAATACCTTCAAACTCAGGACTGCAGGTGTGAACTCAGATCGAACGAAGATAACATGTGTATGCTGGTTCCGGGATCCACCTGGGGGATGGCCTCCTTCTCCTCAAAGCAACCAGCTGGTCTTCTTCGTCAGTGGTAAGATGAATGTTCATTACATGAAAGGCAGTGCTGATACTTAAAATATGAAAATGCACAATAAACCTTTCAAAAAGGTATCCAGTGAACAAATCTCCAAACAAGCAAATCCATTGGCGAACAAATAATTCCTTCTGTAAGAATACAGATAAGAGAACTTTCTTTTAATGGGAAATATATCACCCAAATGGGATGCTGTGGTTGGGACAACATTGTGGCAGCATTTAGAGAAACAACTATGCCTTCATATCTCATATACTTACCTAAATACTTAGAGTTTTCATCTTCTCGGCTCCCTATATTTGCTTTTTTTTAATTTGAAGATTTGAACACTGAAAAACATCAGCTGAGGGCAGGAGGTGAGATTCTACTGGTTTGGACTGGTTCTGCAGAACCGGTTGTTATGATTCTGTGCAATTCAGAGAACCAGCAAAACATTCCCCTGGCTGGCCTCGCCCCTCTCCGCCCTCCCCTCCCCTCCCTGCCCTATCAGTCCTTATCGCACATGTGCAACGTCGCACACATACCTGGCATCACCGACTGCATTCTCCCCCACCCGGTCACTCTTTAAGGTATTTCATTTTTACCCCTCCTGGCAATCAGCTCTTCCGATGATCAGCTGTGCTGGGATCCCCCTCCCTGTCTTACTTCTTCACCCAGGAGGCTTCCCTGAGGGGCCAAAGGGGGCAAGGGGGGAGCTGCTGTGCGCCCCCCCCCCCACGCTCCATTTTTTGCCTCCCTGGTCCCTGGGGAATTTTTGCTCCCAAGAGGCTTCCCTGAGGCTCAGAAGGCCCCCCAAAATGGGGGGAGGGGGCTTCTGCAAAAGGAAAAGGATACGAAGATGATGCCATGCCCTCCCACTCACATGGTCTTGCCCACCTATCCATGCCCACCTATCCATGCCCACCTATCCATGCCCACCTATCCATGCCCACCTATCC